GACCAAGAAAATTTGTATCTAAAAGGATGGAAATCCACTGATGTTAGTTTAGTTGATATCAATATGAACAGATTTTCAGCCCAAACCATACAGACCACCAAATGGGATTAAAAACAAAACTGTGCTAAACCAAAATGGAAATATAGCAACAGTGGCAACAATGAAGCACTGAGACAGGAAGGAGCAATGAAGAAACTCATAATGAATGTAGTTGCAGGCAAAAGAAAATATTTACAGTTAGTTGCCTTGGGTGTGAAATTTGCTGGAGTTCTTCATAAACCTAATCTCATCTCTTTGCATTAGGTCAAGTGAAAAAAGGATTACTTACATGCATGGCTAGAATGCTGCGTGGGACTAATTCTCTGTATTGTCTAATAGTAAAGTGCCATGTTTTTATTCTCATAAGATCATCAAAAGTAAACTCCAAGATAAGACGTCCTTCTGTGCATACCTAGAATACATAAAATGCATGACATAAATTCCCAGGAATTTTGCTTGCAGTAGTACTGTATCATCGACCAAACAACATTCAAAAATATCAGAGCAGTATTCTATTCTTCACCTGAGCTGGACTAATTATTTTTCTTTCTCACGGGGGGAAAAAATAAATGTGAGAAAATGGCCTTACTGCAGAGCAGACAGTACGTTATAATACTAAAGATTTCATAGCATTTCACTAAATCATATGTATTGCATCAGTTCTCTTTCTCTCTTGGTTCAGGACTGCTAATTAACGACCCAGCCTTGCAATGGAGGTGACTGAGGTCCAAGTGTGCACACTTGATGCAAAGTTGCTGACCACTGTTCCCAATTTTTCTTAGGTTGATCTTGCCTCACATTGGATGGGCACATAAACTTTCCCTTCCTATCCACTTGGAGTACAGGGTGCCCTGAATGGATGCGGTTGATGTTAATCCTTTTTTTTTTTTTTCTTTTCCCTTTCTTCTCATTCTTTTCCAAGTATTTTCCAAGTATTTTTATCTTTTTATCTCATTTTTACTTTTCTTTTATTTCTTACCTACTTTTATTAATGCTGCCCTTTCATGGAATGGTGGGACAGCAATGAAGAGCCAGAGGGTACAGTGGAGCTGCATCTATGGCCAGTGGCTCCTGCAGCACTGTGAGAGCTCTTATCTAAGGAGGAGATACATATGGGAGGCAGCAAGGGGATACTACCTGGAAATGATGAATAAAATAAATTACTGAAGATTTTTAAGCAACTGTATTTGGGAAAAAAAAAAAAAAAAAAAAAAAGCTGTAGTTGTGGACTTCTTTAAAAGAAGTAGGTGCAAAATACATGCCTGCCTTGGGGCACCCTGGAAAACATGAACGAGGCCTGATCCAAAATTTAGCTACCTCTATTGATTTCTTTTAATTGAACGCTTAGACTTACAACTCCTATTCCAAGCAGAATTTCAAAGTACAGGATGCAGAGATACTGTGGAGACATACTGTAACAGTTCTTTTTAAAAGAAAAGGTTCTTGCAAATTTAATTTTAAAACAACTAATAGTTAATTGAGCAACTAGCCATCCTAGATTTGGTTGAGGCCATTGGGCCTTTTTACAACCCTCGCTCACATCAGACTAGTTCCTGCTTTGGCAAAGTGTGGCTTTTCCAGTTAGCAGTTCATGAATGTTATCATGGCTTTTTCTCATGGTTGTTTCTACAAAAATACACAAGTAACTTTAACAGGCATGTTATACAGATAAACTACTCTAGACCTATAAAGAAGAATGCTGCAACAGGTTCTCCTCCGCCCCTTTTAGCATAGCTCAGTGAAGCCTTCAAATTCTTAATGTAACTTACGCTGTTGTTTGACCCTGATCTTGGTTTTCACATCACTTGTACTATGATAAGGAATGACCCAGAGATACAACACATGTGTGCAGATAAGGTTCAAAACAAGAAGAAAAGCATTCTGTTATATTAACATTACTGTGCTGAGGCCAAAGTTCCTGATTACTGACCGGTTAACTGAAAATACTTCAGGTTTAAAATATTTTTTAATAATAATACCTGTGGCTTCTCAAATGTTTCTTCTGCGGCTCAAAAACCCACAGCTCTTAACAGACTTATTTTATGCACTAGCATTAACAAATTCTAATAGAAAAACTGCAACACATACCTCATATCACTGTGGTAAAAATTTATACATCTTATAAAGGAATTTAATTTCCTTTTGTGGAGCAGAATTTTACACACTGCTTTTAATCAATAAAATTGGTGCAGTTCTTATTTTAAATGGGCCTTTTTTTTTTTTTTTTTAAATGCTACCTTTTACATAGAATCCAAAAAATCAAAAGAGTCTCCAATTAAGAAAACATTTTCTGTTGTGCTGAATTCATGTTACCGTACTGTGAGCTCTGACATTTTGTTTCTGTGGTAACCAAAATCAGCTGATTAGTTGGCATGGCAACAGAAAAGATGTAATCCCAGCAGACACACTCTAATCAATGCCCCCAGCACAGATGGTCTCCGGAGGATCAACAAGAAAGAGGCTGGCAGGCATTCAGCATATCACGTGGTTGCTCTAGACTAGGCCAGGAAAAAACTAAAAAAGAACGTTTCTCAAACTAACCAATAGCTTTTTAACCCCTTCGCTGCACTTATTAACTGTAGGAAATTCAACTGCCTGCATCTATAATAAATAAATTCATTCCTGTTCCATAACACTTGGATTCTTGCAGTAGTGACACAGTGCATCTTTTAAAACTCTTCCCCCTTCTGTTAATGGCCATCTCTCAAACCTGGCTTTAAAAGAAATCTGATGCTTTTACAAATCTGGAATTTGCTGGAGGGCCAAAATCACTGGGAGTGTTTGATTCCATGCTTGTAAATCAGTTTGATGGAGCACAAGAGAAGGCCTGCCCACCAGTGGGTGCTCCTGAGTGGGTGCTCAGGGTGGAAGCAAAGTTCAACCTTGGCGACAGCTATCAGGAACTATAAAAACCACAAACTGCAGAAAACCAGTGTGGCTATACATGAAATTGGGAAAACACTCAAAACCAGAGTATTGGAAATAGTCATAATTCTTTCCTTTGCTTGGAGAAACAATGAACATGGTAGTCAGGGCTTTGGCCTCTTCTTTGCCACTCTAATTCATGCCATGAATTGTATTCATTTATAGCTTGACAAAGTCTGTTCTTAAGCGTGTGCCTTACTTAACGTAGACAACGGCCTTCTAAAGACAAGCTGAACTATTTGTATCCGCACTGGTAGGCATGTTCTAGCCACATTTGTTTGAAAAAAATTGGAAATGCCGTATTATATATTCATCCAATACTGCAGTATGCAGTGAGTAGCTCTAACTGAGAAAATGTTGAAATGAATAAAATGCAGCTGCGGATTCCTGATTCAATATGTGATGAGAACTGTTCCAGCCCATTATATTAGATGCTAGTGAATTTGTAGCTTACAATTTGTTTGTGAAACTGAAATAGCTATTAACAAGAATAGCTTATTTTTATTTTTGCACTAAAAAACCCCTTTCACTGGGTCAAATTCAGACATCATGTGAGGAGCTACTCAGTCAGCTGGAGCGCTGCTTACGAGAGTTCTGTTCTTCCAGCAATGCTGTGGGAGTTAGAGCCTACCTTTATGTTCAAGATCCATGACCTCACTATCTCTGCTAGAAGTTACACATACACAGCTGAGACAGCATTTGGCTCTAACTTATTTCTGAGAGCAATGCATTCTTTTCTCCTCTATTCCACTATATGCTGTCTTCTATTTCAACAGTATTACTTATCCAGCCATTTTAACATACAGCCATTACAAAAAAAAACACCACCCATTCTTTAAAAGCAGCTCCACAAAAAAAGCAGCCTCCCTGCACCTCTCCATGTTTTCTACATGTGGCAACCATGACAACTACTACCTCAGTGCTCGGGAAGAAAGAGGTGCCATCCAGGAGTACCTCCATGTTTGTGTCTGTGTAAACCACAGGGGGCTGGAATGGGACAGCTGGAACAAATATGCCATAAAATACACACCTCCCAGCTCACCAGCACTCTGCTCATTGGTGGCTTCTTCTCCCTATCCTTTAAGTCCCACACCAGGAGGAATTAAATTGTTAGAGAAGACACAAAATGCTAAAACAACATGTGCCACGCAGCCTCTACGCATGATGTTGTCAACATCAGTGCCTTGTTAAACTCAAAAACCTCCCCAGTTTTGTAGGATGTGGGCAATATGGATGGATTATCTCCTGATGCGCCTTTTCTTTTATACTTTTTTTCCATGTGAAAATTGATGTTCACAGAAATGAACAGGTACAAGATGCAAAAGAAACATTTTCTGTCAAATTATGAAGTGTGCCTTTCCATTTTCAGAATCAGTTTACTGGTTTTTAAAGGTAGGATTTTCATTTTGACTTGGACTTCCCATCTTTTTGGTACTGTTTTTATAAATATACAACACTCACTTTAATTAAAGAATTGAAGTAGCCAATGCATGAAGATAATATAATTCACTATATTCCACAGTTCACTATCAGTTGCAAATAAATTCAATATGTACTAACTGCCTGATGCAGAACATGCTCAAATCAATTGAGACCTTCCACTGACTTCCCTGCCCTTTGGACCAGCATCCTACTGTACTAAATCACCTTTTTCCCAGAGATTTACAGTCCTTAGACTGAGTATCAAGTGTAAAGTGAGCCACCCAAAATGGTAGGCACCAAGCAATGTAAAATCTCACTGTTGCTTTAAAATTGAGCCAAGAGAAAAGGAGATGGGCAGGTTGCTTTTAATTCATGTACATCTGGTAGTTCCAGAAACCTGGCATTATGTGCTTCTCTTGCAATCTTTCTGGGAGAATTGCAGAAGATGCCCACAAAATTTTCCAGTCATGTAATGAATACAGAAAATAGTAATTAAAGGGATTCAAGAGTTTTCAGTATTAGAAATAATCTCAGTCTACCAGAAAAATGCAACAGCCAATATTTTTCACTCTTATACACACCAGAAAGAAAGAAAACAAAACAAAAACAAACAACATGCTTTTTTGAGTCTTCCCTGTTACCTTGGTAAACATGGGTTTTCCATGCTGAGTGACCATGGTGCATTGATCACAGTCCACTGTGATGGATGAGTTGTGGTATGACTCTTTTGAGTGCTTGAGAATGTAATACAGGTCTGTTACACCTCCTTCAAAGACAGTGCTAAAATAACGAGGAATGAGGGTCCTTCCAATTGCTGTGAGGAAAATACAAAGCAGAATTCAGCAAATGCTCTAGGTTATAAAATCTTCAACTATTTGCTAACAGAACATGAATAAATTTAAGTGCAATGAAATCAAACTTTCATTTAAGTAATATAACACGTTTTCTGTCTGCTGTAGAAATGGAGTTGTGCCTGCTCCTAGTGAAATCAATGAGCACAGCTTATTCTGATATTCAGAGAGAGTGATCTCATCTTATTCAATCTCTTTACACTGATGGTGAGTTAGAGTCACTTTTGAAACCATCTGCAAGTTTTTTGTCCCAGTAATTATCATACAGAGAGCCACATGGTGCCAATTATGACTGAAAGTTGGATATTACTCATAAATGTATAAAGACAAGTGCTGAGCACTTACAGAAATGCATTTTTACATTCAAAAAAGCAAAGTGCATTTATATAGAGTAGTTGTGGACACAAATATGTTTGCATGTGTGCACATGTGTATGTATATACAGCTGCACACACACTGTTGACTGCGTTGACTGCATAGGAAGCTATGGCTGTCAATCTGGAGAGTGAAGAAAAACCTGCGAATGCAATACAGTGTATGTTACACAACATACGATTGCCAACAAAGAGTCTACCTGAAATCTCTCTTTAGACTGAGTGTATTTGTGCCACAGGCTGGAAGGTCTGTGGTAGCTTATATCCACTCTTAGTCCTCAGGAGCATGGACTTCAAGTACTGAGTTCTCCAAGTAAGTAATAGTAATAGTGAGCATGGCATGCATTTTGGATGCACAGACTAGCAGAAAACCGGTATCAAAGGCAATTATCTCACATGCAACCGATGCTTTCCACCTGTTTTTTTTACAGATAAATTTGGATGCAACCACAAGCTTGTATGAAAGAACACTTTAGTTTATAATAGACCAATACCCATACTGAACGAGTCATTGCCTAGCATGCATTAATCAATCCACAGTAATTCTGAGTGGTGGATACATGAAAATTACCTCCATCTTCAAAGGGAAAAACTGAGAGATCTAAACTAAATGTTCTGGAACAATGAGACAGAAAAGTCACCACCAACAGGCAAAATTAGAGTTGATTAGCTCCTAATTCTTACTTATCTACCAGGACTATGCGGTGACTCATGTCTCTCTTATACCTTTCAGAGTAATTTCTGAAGAACTTATTTTCATAGGAATTTTGCCAGCATACAAACAAGGGCACTTGACCCTAAAAATGTATTTGCAAGTGGGTGTTGTAAATTAAAAACTATGGTGTTTTCACAGAAGTGGTTTCTGTGAAAGCTGTTTCTGCTCGGTGTGTTACAATGTGGAGTATTTCAATGTGCAGTTATAATGCACATTATGTAAGGAAAATATACAAATGTAGGAAATAAGGACTTAAAGCTTTTACTGCAATATTAGATATCAACATAATTTTAAGGATTAAAATATACTGTGTTCGCTGGATATGGCTGACAGTTCAATGAATACTTTGAACAACTATTCTACAACTCAAGCTCCTAAAAAACCCACCCACTCACCATGGCCATGCATGTATTAATTTTCTGCAGTTTTTTAATTCAATTTAGAGAAAATGAAGTCCAGTGTATCAGCATAAGACTCGAGCTTTAACTCAAATTTTTCCGTCTTGGTATGGTATATAGCAAAACTTGAAACTTTTCCATCATGTTAATTTTTTGCTCCCCTAAGGCTAATTAGTGCAAATTAAATTTCCTGCTAATCATCCTAGGCAGCAAATGTGTGATATGAAAATCCAGCATTCCTACTGATTGTGATAAACCTCTATTCACGTGACTTAGGCATCACATAAAATCCTGAAACTTCTTTAACTGCATTTATAGACCATTCCTGAAGTAGCATAGTCATATGGTGCTGGTTTTAGCCTTGTAACCGCAGCTACAACACAATAAAGAAGGCTAGAACTACATTAAATATCTTATTATTTTTCCTACTAAGCACTGTCTGTTCTTGCCACCGGGATCTGCTACTGTGAATAATGAAGTGAGGAGCCAAAAGGATGAGGAGGAACAGAGGTGCACATAAGGTGGTGCCCCACAGAACCTCATTTTCATCTACAGATGCCCATGCAGACTCTGTCTGTAAAAGGAAAAGCTGCTCATGTGAGTGTCTAGCATACACTACCATAAACTCCAGGAGAAACAGTCACAAAACCCTACTAACAAGTAGGCTGGTCCTCAGCTCACTGAGCTGCTTTTGCTACAGAAGACTGAAGCAAATCCAAGGCTTGGGCTCTCTTCCTGAAGCAATTCACGGCTTAAAAAGCTAACTTATTTTCTAGTATAAATATGACTCTGTACAATGGTAACAGCTTATTTATGCAGAAGACATTTCCAAGAACAACAAAGGGCTGTGCAACAAGCCCTTGTAACCACAAACTTTCTGTGTTTTAAGTGCAAAAGGCTTTCCTTGATGTTTTCTCCTCCAGAACATAACTGTGTGTATGAATATCCAAGCACTCTCAGCTCCGCTCTTTATTACCCCTCCTCCCCCTCCCCCCCCCCCCATGTCTCCCTGTTCCCTACCCTCACGGTCTTTCTCTTTCCCATCTTATGGTCAGTTTATACGCACAGGTTATCCTCCATGTTCACGGTTCAGCTCTCAGTGCTGCCCTGTCCCTTCTCCCCCTCCTCACATAGTCTGTTCTCCTTGCCCAGGCAGGCTCACTAATCCCCCTGTAGCTCCCCAAATCCCTCATTCTCTTTACCTAAAGGGGGCCACACTATCTATTTGCAGTCTCCCTGTTCTCCTCCTCTGCCCCCCAAATGCCAGCTTCATGCACACTTTCTCAGTGCCCTTCCCAGCTACCCATGCTGCACAAAACTCCTTGCCTCTACAGTGTAAATCTTTCTTCTGCTTCTGAATTTTGTGTACTTTTCCCCAGGATCTTCTGTCTCCTACTTTTCTGCACTCTGCTTTATCTGACTCCATCCCTCCTCCCTTTGCTCAGCATTCTATCCAGCCAGGGACAAGGTAAGAGCATCTCTTTCTGCCCTCCATGCAGCTAAGCAGCTCCCTGTTCACTGTCCGTGTTTTTCTTACTGACTTCTAACCCTCCCATAATCAGCTTCCCTCTTCTTCCTTTCACCTTCTAGTTAATACTTCTGTCCACTCTCACACTTCGGTGCCATCAGATTTCTTCTCTGGTTTAGTCCCCCTCTTCTTTTGCCTTCTTTTCCCTCTTTCCTCTATGCTTCTAATGCCTCACTGGAGTGAGAGAGTTTTCTTCCTGGATTTTCCAGTGACAGTGCCATGGTCAAGCCGCTTGCTTGACTGGGAGCTCCGGAGAAGGAAGGGCTTCCTGCTTTCACATGCAGCACTGGCTGACCATACATCAGGGCCTGGAAACGGGGTTTACAGTGGAAAAATCCAGGAGTCCACAGAGCCTTGAGTCCAGCTACTCTTTGTAGTAGATGTGGAGATATCCCACTGGGCTCCATGAGTAGGAAAGTCTTGAAAATTTCAGCTGTCAAACTCTAGTGAGGCTTCAGATGAGTACTTCGGAATGGTGTCTTTTTCCACAAAGATCCATAAATTTAATAAATTTGCTAAATTCAGTCAGGTTTACACAAGGAGGACAAAAGGCAACCCCTGCCACAAAAGTAAGCAATCCTGCTCCACAGCATCATATGGATGTGAAAATAAAAAGTTGCAATAATTTTGTAACATGGACAAAACAGTTCTTGTTTTTTTTTTTCATTTTCAAAAACAGAAATCATTTTTGACTTAGATAAGAGAGAACTAGCTACAAGCAAAATAAACCACAATTTCAGTTTTATTGGCTTAAGTTTGGCAAAATTATAAGTAACTTGAAAGAAGTTATTTTAATAGGATTTATTAAACAGTATTAATAATAGATGCTATATCATCTGCCTGCAAGAACAGATTAGAGAAGCCACGACTGCAGATGTTGAAGCTCTGAGCCCAGCACTCAGGGTTAGAAAAGCAGACACAGATTCACACCTGCATCTGCAAGAACACTAGCAGAATCTTACAGTGCTATTATCCAGTACAGGCTGTTTCACTGAGTGAAATGCAACATCCTGCACTATAAGAAATTGGACACACTGTGAGCTAGAAAGAAAATTCACCTACCCCTCCCTCAGCACTCAGGCATTAATGCCAGATCCCCATAATGCTACTTTGCATTTTGTCCTGAGCAGCATCCTTCATCCTTAACTGAGTATCTGAGGACATACTCTTTCCCAAGAGAGGCAGACGATGCCTCTTAATGCTTGCTTCATTTGTGCTAGCAAATCCCTAGACAACAAAGAAAACTGGCAAAGATCAGCTGGATTTATCAATGGGTGATGACGGTTATTTATATGAAGGTGTCTGTAAGAAAGGTGTATCTGAAGTGATTATTTTGCACAAACTACAGGACTGTTACTCGCTGGGATGCCAAACCTTCAGCTTGCTCACTCATGTGACAGCCTGGCTACGCATGGCTCTATTTACATTTCCAGAGGATAAGAGACCTAACTACAATTTTAGAATTGAAATTTAACGGGTAGATATGTTGACACTTCCCTGGACATGAGTGGTCCAGAAATCAATTAATCTAATCCACGTAATTGTGGTACCACCACATGCCATGTGGTGGTGGTACTGTTGTTTTGTTTTTCCTAAGGAAGATTCAAGTAAAATCGAAAGTAAACATGTTTTTCTAGTTCATAGGAAACGGGTATTATTCGTGAGCTAGAAATAGAAGAAAACTTCCTCCCTTTGTGAAAGATATGCTGTCAAATTCTCAATGCCTTCTCTATAGAATGCAAGTTCGTGGCCTCTGTTGCAGAAGCAGGGCTCGACAGCAAAACCCTCCTTGCTCAATGCACTTGTCAAAGGTTGCCTTTACAGTACAAGCTCTCAGCAGCAGAGACTTCGTTTTAGCATATATGTACACAGCATGTAGGATAACTGCCAAATTGGTATAGAAGTCAAACAATAGAAGTGTTAACCAGAGAAATAAAAATACTGGTTTGATTGCTTCCAGACTGTTTTTTGCAGCCTGTCAAGTCCTGTGTCTTCAATTAGAGCTATGATATAAAATAAACAGTAAAACAGACACAAATATAAAAGCATAAAATATAAAAAGCCTTCTAAAGTTCCAAAGAATCAGCAACAGAATGAAAAAAATGACACTGTGCCTGTTGCTTAAATGAGCTCTGTCTGGAAGCTGTGGTACTGACTGCAGCTGATTATCTCATCAACACATTACAAAGATGGGATTGGTGAACAGCACTGGTTGGGAGAGCAGGTTTTTTGGCTTCCAAACCAAAAAGTTGAGAAGCCCTGTACAGCTCCAGGCAGATTATGGAAGCCTCTTGCTTGGGAGATTATCACAGCTGGGGTTCAGTAATTAAATGGAGATTCTAAGACCAACTTTCCCTCAGCCAGATCTAAGGGCTGGGGGAGTCTGGAGATGACTTCTCACTGACCGCAAACGAGCTTTCCTGAGCACCACAGAAGAAAGCCTGAGCTTACTGTCATTTGTTAATTGACATCTCTGGCCTTGGCTAATTGACATCTGTGTGGACCCGAGGCTGGCGCAGTCATTTAGGCATGCATTTGTAACCAAAATAAATGAATGCACAAAAAGCAAAACATTATGGAGTTATAGAGTGATGTCATTGCTCTCCTTCTGTCCCTACTTTTGTTTGAATTTGCCCAGATTTGTCTCAGTGAAATATCACATCAGGTGTTCCCTCCCAGATGCAGCCCACCTGGTTGGGATGCAGAGGGGGTTGAGATGCATGCTTTCTCTAGACTTTGCTCAGCAGCTCTGCCAAAACTGAGGAGGAGGGAAGGGAGAGAACTGAAGCTGGAAAGAGTCCCAAAGTTGTACATGTGAACAACCATCCACATTTACAAAACCTTTCCTGGTGAGTGGATTCAAACCCAAACAAAATGAATCTGTCAATACCCAGGAAAAGCTGAAGGGCAGTGAAAAGACAGTCTAATTAAAGTCCAAATTCTGTTTCAGAGATGTGTGGGACACATTGATTAAACCACCCACATGTGTCCAAGGCAGAATCTGGCACACACAGACCCATCCTTTTTTATTCCCTGTCTAGTGGTTAAGATTGAGCTTCTATCATTTAGACTACTTATAGAATTACTGTTATAATGTACGCTTGATCTGCACTGATCTTATGGGAAAATTCCAGTATTTTATACAAATAAAGTATTAAATAAAATAAAATGTATGATTTTGAAACTATTACAACTATTACAAGTAATGGTAAATACACTATTGTATACTATTAAGAGCAGTATACTACTAATAGTAATAGAGGTATTTTACATTCAGAAAATATCTGTGTAACCTGCAGATGGAATAGTTTAGAAACTCCATGAAGTTTGGAGGGTCATTTACAAGTGTTACCTCCAAATTTTTGAGAAGTAAAATCAGCTGCTTATTCATTCCTCCCCTGTCCATACAGATTTGTTTTTATCATTACTGATCTCCCTAGTATTCTGTGGCAATTAGGAAAAAATGAATGTTTCTGATGATTTTGCCTTTGTTCTCATTTTTTAACAAAACTGCAAAGATGAGTAACATGGATTCAGTGCTGTGACTGAGTGCCTTGAATCCTTCCCACACTCAAACCCCATGTTTAGTTTTTTTTCTGATCCATGATATCTGCATTATCTTATTTATTCTTATGTCAAAACTACTGCATACAGACTAAATTTTAACCAATAGTACTAAAACATATGCAATTATACATGTCCATTTTTTTCTTCTACAGTTCCTGTGTAATTCAAGCGTTGTTAGATTAGACTTCCTTTTCTTCCAGTAAGTATTTTCTAACACCATTTTATCCTGGTATTTGCCTATATAATTTTGATTCAGTTGACAGTGTATTTCCTTTTCTTGTAGTCTGTAACTAACACTTCAATCCTCTAAAACACACTTGAGTCAAGAACAGGTAACAGAAACTTCGTGTCAATGAGAGCTCAGCTTAATTCTCCAGACTTTATGACCCTTACTCTCAGAGATCCATAATCTGCAACTCAGACTTAAATCCGTCTCTCTGAAAAGAGATATTTTACTATAATTCATTTTTGTGAAAGTAGCCAGAAAACAACTATAAAAAGCTCTATGTCTCAAGAAAGCAACGGATTAGTTTTTCATTAAGGAACTCAGCCAACCTACCTATTACAGCCTCCCAACCTTTTCCGTACTATACTATCAGCACCCTAGCAAAGTTTTTAAGGAATTGCATGCTTTAAAATTCAGAGCCTTCAGATCTGTAGAGTATTTCAGCCCAAGAGTGAGAACCTGGGGACTAGGGAATGTGGAGAGTAAATGGCAGAGCCCAAAATCCCTTCCAGCAGTGTACAGCCCAAGGCTGGGCTTGAAGGGCTTCTCAGGTATTATTTGGTCCAGCTCCCTCAGAGCAGATCACTCACAGGGGTTGCCCAGAACACTGTCCAGTTGGGTTTTAAACATCTCTAAGGATGGAGCCTTCATGACCTCTCTGGGCAGCATATGCCAGTGTTTCGTCACTTTCCAAGGAACATGCTTTTTCTTATGTTTAAATGAAACTTCATGAATTTTGCTGAGTGACTCAAAGAAGATTCTGTCTCTGCCTTCTTTATCTACCCCCCATCATATTCTTATTTAGATTGACAAGATCCACCCTCTCCAGGCTGCATGGTCCCAACTCTCTCAGCTTCTCCTTGTCCAGCCCATGCCACCAATTTGTAGTCACTACTGTGCCTTTGCTGGCCTCACTCCAGTATAGATATGCCTTTATTCTACCAAGGAGCCCCGCCTGCAAACCCTGCTCCAGACATGTCTCCTCAGCAGGGAGGTGGCCCATCCTTTGCTTATACTGCTGGCATCATTCTTACTGCAGAATTCTCTGCCACACAGGCACACTACCAGCTCGTGGTTAACTTGAACTTAGGGTCTCCAGCTTGGGAATCGAGGCTGACTGCAAGAGGATGCACAGAAAATGTCTGCTGAGCAGACTGACTACAGAAGGCAGATGTATCACAGCCAGCACCTTGAACTCCAGCACAAACAGCAGAATACTACTGTTGCATGACTCTGGACCAGCTTCAGGCTTGAACTCTTTGCTCCACATCCAGGGATAGTACTCTAATAACCTACGGAGTTTAGGATATTCTCTTTCATACAGACCAATCATAAAATAAAAATTCAGAGCTCATTTAGTTTGTTGCTTAATTTAGGTTTAAATTAGAAATCTGAACTGGGTTTCTAGCAATAAAGAGCAGACCCTTACCTGACACTGAAAAATTCACAATTTCTTAATAACAGCCACAGTATATGCTGATTTCTTAGGCTGAAATGCAAATGGTTTGAGGGGGTTACCCACATTCTTATTTCACAGACAAAAGATCTATCTTAGATGAGGAAGCTCTACTTCTAACTATAAAATGTCCACATATTATATAAATCAAAATCATAATTCTCCAGCAAAAGTCCATACACAGATACTTCAGTGAAGAGAATATTTATATTTGCATAAAAAAATCTGCACTTAGAATGCTAATAAGCCAGAACAAGTAGTTTGTCTGGTTGCTGTATACAGTCTATGCTAATCATTGTTTGAAGAAAGAACATTTCAGTTAACTTTGTTCAACAACTGCAACGAAGAAAGTTTTAAAGGCAGAGCAAAGAGGTTATTCACAGCTGTATGACAAACCACTGTCAAAATATAACAAACCACAACCAAACTCAAGCAGAAAATGACAAAATGTAAGACCGTAAAAATGATGGAAATTGTGCAGGACAGGCATTTTAGATGAACAAATGCAATCTGTACCAGCATAAAGGACCAGCACAACACAGAAAATGATACCCAGGAAAGTCGTCTGAAGAAGTAAAGGCAAAAACATAAAATTCAAATGACAGAATACCAAAAGGAAGAGACAAAAAGCAGGCAAAACATCCAGTTGTATTAAATCAAGCACACTTCTGACCCCTGACTTCACATGACCCACTAGAATACTAAACAAGGCATTAAACAAAAAAATCACATAAAAGCAGAGGAAAAATGACATTAAGATAAAATGATATTGGCCATACTCTCACATATTGCCATAATTCTTTCATACAGATAACCACACTTCTCTGGGGCAGAACCTAGAGCTCAACATCCAAGCGTAGCTGCCACAGAAAATGGGTTTTTGTCTGTCCATGGCATGTCTCTGTTGGTTGCACATATTGCCCAGTTCTACTCAATCTCTTGTTGATTTCAACCCAAATCATTCTGCAAAAATTAAGCAAGTCACTGGAACCACCCCAACTACCACCTACAAAGATTCTGGTTATTTTACTGGGGATCTTTTGCTAAAAATTGCATGCAAGTGTGCAACAACATCTATTGTATCATGCATACTGGCACAAAGTTGTTCTGAAGGCAGATGTCTGCAAACGTAATCCCAACAGCTCCTGATCTCCACTGTTTTCTCTGAATCAAGCTGAGATGGGAAGCTGAAGCAGCAAGAAAAACAGTCTTACGTGAGCTCTAAAAATAGTATGAAACATTTACAGCTTGCATGAAGAATAAACAACTGACAAAGTACTGATCTGAATAATGTATATCTCCCTTTAACCCACAGAAGCATTAAAGGAGTTGCAAGTGACTAAGCCAGCACATCGTATGTTGCCTTTTCACTTCTAAAATTCCTGATATATGCTCAGGTGAAATCAGCAGCAACATACATCTTACACGAGTTGACAGATCATGGTTTAGGGGTTAGTCCAGGCTGCAGGTGCCACCACCCCTGCAGGCCGAGCACTGATGTCCTGAGGAAAGGCCTAAGGACAAACATGGCTCGGCTCAGGCAAGATTTACTTTCTTCTTGGATGCAATTTGCATCTCCCTGCAAGCCTCCTATTCATGAGAGAAAGCTACTTGCAGCACTTCAGCAGCTAGTTTAAGTTTAGTTAGCCATGAGTGTGTCTGTTAAATATGTTGCAATCAGATAGCAATTTCCGTTGCTAATGCTACAGGGAACCCAAAAGCTACATGCCTTCATGATGTGCCACGACATCGACACAAGCTAACCCTATGAAGAAGCTGGACATATTATTTTGGACTCTGAGCCAGGTGTGGATGGCCACATGGTTTCTGGTCAGCTCAGTGTGTGAAGTGGACAGGCTCATATACGCCTCTGCATGTAAGCAGAGCTGGGCTCCTCAGCACTGGAAGACTCTTCATGGCAAGATGCAAGCCCACAGGCAGGTGATGTGAAGAACAATTGTTCCTCTCCTGCATGCAGGACTTCATCCTCATCGCAATCGGTCAAGCATCGCTGCATGGCTCACATTCAAGTTAAAAATACTAGAGGTGAAATGTGTTTACCTGTCCATCAAAGGGGACGCAGCATGGTGGGAGAATGTGTGAACAACTGGTGGGGGGTGAGGGGTTACAGTAATATGATAAAAGATACACGAGGCATTCTCAAAACCCTGAAACTGCAATGAGCACATGTGGATTGATAGCCAGCATGATTTTTCTCGTAATTTTATGCTGCAGACGTATGAACAATATCTCACCAGTGGATAATATCAGTTGTCGGTTATATACATGTTTTATAACAACCAGAACACTGTTTCTCAAAAAGCCGTCGGTGGCTAGCTTTGATTTCCTTTTTTTCTGCAGTAAAGCTTGCTTTCCCACTCTCTTTCACTTTAAAGCTAATGGAAGCTAACTGCAGAGAAAGTAAAAAGGTATTCAACGTGTTAGACACAATCATTAGGAAAATATTCTACCATTTAAAAGTGTTTTGTTGGTTTTAAAAGTACTGCTTGTTTATTATCCTTAAAAAAGAAGGCAAGTGCCCTGTGTTCAGCTATACAAATCAGTTGTCTGACAAAATAATGTCAAATAATAAATAACCACTTTCAGAAAAGGGCAAGCAATGTAACAGGCTTATAATCCTCAGTTAGAGCACACATTATATGCGGTTTTAAATAAAATTTTACGCAGTAAGTAATGTGGAATGCTCTTAACTGGAAAAAGGCAACATCTGTAATAAGTGCTGCAACAAACCTGTACTGAAACTGCAATAACCTCTTTCTATGTTTTATGTCATTTTCGCTATATGACGCAGTTTTTCCACATTTCACAGAGTGCCATTGTATCATCTTCTTGATATACCGTTGTTGCAATGACTGACTATGATTTCTAGAACCACTGCATGTACAGGCATTGTGACAAACCTGATCTGCCACTGTAAGGACAGCTTCAGGGACCTTCTGAGCATAAAATATGGCCACCAATAGGGTCATCCCAAATGTCCACCCACACCAAAATCTCTGCCTGGTAACAACCGAATAAATAAAACAAAAAAGAAACAACAAATAAAGGAAGACAAGAGGGACATGATCCTTGCCCTGGTCCACCATACCTGCTCAAAAAAAATTGCAGGTGGAAAGCAACGAAAGAGATGGCTGCATTCAAGGACAGGCTGAAAGAAGGCTGCTAGGTGACCTGATAGCAACCTTTCAGTATCTTAAGGGGAGCTATGGAAAGGAGAGAAATTCTTGAGCAGGGTCTGTGGTGATAGAACAAGGCAAAATGGCTTCATGCTTAAGGAGGATAGATTTAGGGTGCATATAAGGAAAAAGGGTGGTGAAACACTGGAACAGCTTGCTCAGATCACAGAATCACAGAATCACAGAATCACCCGGGTTGGAAGGGACCTCAAGGATCATGTAGTTCCAACCCCCCTGCCTAGCAGGGCCACCAAACACACACATTCAGATCAGGTTGCCCAGGACCCCGTCCAACCTGGCCTTAAACACATCCAAGGACGGGGCATCCACAACCTCCCTGGGCAGCCCGTTCCAGGGCCTAACCACTCTCCTTGTATAGAACTTCCCCCTAACATCCAACCTAAATCTTCCCTCCTTCAACTTCGATCCATTTCCCCTAGTCCTGCTGTTGTCAGCCCTTTTGAAGAGTTTACTCCCCTCCTGGGTGTAGGTTCCCTTCAGGTATTGATAGGCTGCAATGAGGTCACCCCGCAGCCTTCTCTTCTCCAGGCTGAACAAGCCCAACTCCCTCAGCCTGTCCTCATAGGGGAGGTGCTCCAGCCCCCTGATCATCTTAGTCGCCCTCCTCTGGACCCTTTCCAAAATCTCAATGTCTTTCTTGTACTGAGGGCTCCACACCTGGACACAGTACTCCAGATGGGGCCTCACAAGAGCCGAGTAGAGAGGGACGATCACCTCCCTGTCCCTGCTGACCACCCCTCTCCTGATGGAGCCCAGGATCCCATTTGCCTTTCGAGCTGCCAGAGCGCACTGCTGGCTCATGTTCAGTCTCTCGTCCATCAGGACCCCCAGGTCCTTCTCTGCCGAGCTGCTCTCAAGGACCACTCCTCCCAGCCTGTACGGGTGCCTGGGGTTCTTCCGGCCCAAATGCAAAACCTTGCACTTTGCCGTGTTGAACCTCATTAGGTTCACCCGAGCCCAGCCCTCCAGCCTGTCGAGGTCCCTCTGAATGGCATCCCTTCCTTCCACCGTATCAACCGCACCACTCAGCTTGGTGTCGTCAGCAAACTTGCTGAGGGTGCACTCAATTCCCTCATCGATGTCATTAATAAAGATGTTAAAGAGCACCGGTCCCAAGACAGACCCTTGGGGGACACCACTTGTTACCGGCCTCCACCTGGACATAGAGCCATTGACCACCACCCTCTGTCTGCGGCCTTTCAACCAGTTTCTTACCCATCGGGTCGTCCACCCATCAAATCCACTTCCCTCCAATTTGGAGATGAGGATGTGGTGGGGGACCATGTCAAAGGCCTTGCTCAGGTCCAGGTAAATGACATCAGTCGCCTTCCCTTCGTCCACCAATGCCGTCACTCCATCATAGAAGGCCACAAGATTAGTTAGGCATGACCTTCCTTTGGTGAAGCCGTGCTGGCTGTCTCGGATCACATGCTCATTCTTTATGTGATCGAGCATGTTGTCCAGGAGGATCCGTTCCATGATCTTCCCAGGCACGGAGGTGAGACTCACCGGCCTGTAGTTCCCCGGGTCCTCCCTGCTCCCCTTCTTGTATATGGGAGTGACGTGACCCTTCCTCCAGTCATCCGGGACCTCACCTGACAGCCACGACTTCTCAAATATGATGGAGAGCGGCTCGGCAACCACCTCAGCCAGCTGAGGTGATCCCTTCCAATTCTAAGGATTCAATGATTCTAGAATTCAGTTAGGTGTGGAAGTCATAGCTACCAATACCTAACTATATCTCCATACAACTTGATCTTGGGGATCCAAACATCAGCCTAACAACTCTTATTTAATTACAGAAAAAGCTATGCAAACTTTGTGATCTCAGACTGGAAACTCACCCAAAAATGTTTCCTGGAACATTTCAGTTCATATAGAACTAAAATAATCAACGGTAGAAAGTTCTTCTCCAAAGGTTTTGGGGAAACGTTTAATTTTCTGCAATAGGATATGCAGATAAGGTTACAGTGCTGGCAATAAGCATTCCTCTTGGCGTCAATGAGAGCAGTCCAGACTGGTGATTCGATGTTCTGATATCTTAGCATGAAAATAGCTATCTGATTCAAAATATTCCTTAGATGAGTTAATTTTTTTTTTTTTTCTCCAAAATCTCCTACCAAAAGCGGGAAAACAAATTTAATTTGCTATCTTTTTATAACTGTTATAGTCAAACATGACTCTTGGAATTAAATAAACAGCGATACTCCACTCTGCAATGTAAGCATACAAAAATGGTGCTCTACATGTACAAATCTGAAATATTTCCCTGGCTTTCAAATCATTTCTTCATGTTTCACAGGTAAGGTTTCCTTTAACAGGAGCATTGCAAACTTGTCATGAAATCAAATGTGGTGCTAATTACTGTAGTGAATAACAAGCTGACTTATTTGTTTACAAAGCCTAGCACGATGTAATAGTAAACTTGGAAAGAATCAATTCATACCTTTTTTACAAGACAAATGAAAAACGAGCTGGAATGAATATCAGAAAATGCCAGTTGAAAATTTTTATGTGGTGAGGCATAATACACAGAAGTCTAATTGAAATTAATACTTAAGTCACATTTTCTCCACCACCGCAGAAAAATGTCTTTCTAAGCTCAGTTCCCTTTCACTACTCACACATGAATATTTTCAAATTACTTTTTCCCCTCTTAATTCTGATCTAACTTCAGAAGTGATTGAAGGACAAAATCATGCTTCCTCCTGGATCTCCATTTCCACAGTTGGAATTTGGCATGCATAATAATAAGAATGGAAGAAAACTATCTTCATTTCTGTAAAGTTGTATGATTACAGAGCTGAGAGCAGAGCAGGAGCGTGGCACCAATGCAGAACAGGAGGCTACATCAGAAACCCTCCCTGTTCATCTGGATCATGTCAATAAAGCATACTACATACAGCTTACATACCCTGGAAAAAAATGAGCTTTCCTCTGAAACTGCTCAATGGTATGTAACAATTTCTGCATATTTTCTCCAGTAACATTTTGGATTAATTCAAATCTGTCATTTCGCTACAAGAGAAGAGGGAAGGAAGAAGAGGGAAGAAGATTTGCCCAAAGTGAGGCATGAGGAAAGCAATAGACATGAATAAGAGCTGCTCCCAGATCTCTGCACAAACCCCAGACTGAACGTAATATTTCTAATTGTTTTGGATTGGCACTCCTGCATATACAATGCTTTATCTACAGCCTTCCCATCCCTCTCTTCCTAAAATCAGCACAGCTAGCATATAAATGAAAAAGTTATTCTTGCATATCTCACATCTGGTTAGAGTTAGGAAGTGCTAAAAATCTGGAGTGTTTATTCTCTCAGGTTTTTGAGTCTAAAATTCTAGCTGTTTCCTGCCTTTCTAAGAACCTCAGAGGCTTCAAATGGATAGCAATTGCTTGCCACTGATGATCTGAGCTGCAGCTTGGAGTGCATAAATCACTCAACTGAAGGGGTTGGAAGGGACCTCCAGAGATCATCCAGGGCAATCACCCTGCTAAAGCAGATTCCCCAGAGTGGGTTACACAGGAAGGGGTCCAGGCATGCCTTGAATACCTCCAGAGAAGGAGGTAGAAAACAATTGTACGAATGTAGAAAACAATTCACAGCAACAGTGTAATACTAAAGACTCTTCTCCCTTGGGCTTGGTGGCCAATAAGTGCCGCACTGAATGTGTGATACAACACAATCACAGGCTTTGATTTTGCCACATTTTACAATTGACTCTCACCCAGTACTGCAGCTGAAACAGTAGTATCTGTATACAGGGACTTATATGCATGAAAGAAAATCAGAGAATTATGAAATTGTTTGGGTAGGAAGGGATCTTAAAGACTATTCAGTTCCAAATCCTACCATGGGGAGGGACACCTCCCACCAGATCAACTGCCCAGGGGCCCATCCAGCCTGGCCTCGAATACTTTCAGTGACAATGCACCCACACCTTCTCTAGGCAGCCTGTTCCAGTGCCTCACCATCCTCACATGAAGAATTTCTTCCTAATGCCTAACCTAAATCTCCCTTTTTTAGTTTAAAGTCATTACCTATCACTATACTTCCTGATAGTCTCTGTAGGTCCCCTTTAGGTAGTGGAAGGTAGCAACCTATTTTACAGTGTGTCCTTCATGCCTGAGTATATGCCCATTCCCAGTAGAATCAACATTTATCAAAGTCATCCTGAATTTCTTTAGCTGATCCTCTTTGCGTACACATTCATGCAATATCCTACTGGGATGGAACTCCCATACCCATGCTGTGCCACCAAAGTGCTTCATTTCCTGGAGCTGTTCCAGTGAGGTGATGTACAGTATACTCACAAGTAAGGGCTCTAAATGACATTTCTCACCCTTCATTTCTCCTAAAAAGCTGCCATTTCCAAGGCAGATGGCAGGATACACCCCCAAGAGACAACTTCACAGGAAGCCTTTGCTCTGCGTGGGGATGCTGTAGAGCACAGCTGAACTTTCGCTCTTCCTCTGGTATTTCTGCCTGCTTTATTTCCCAAGTTTCATCACTTGTATATCATCCCATTCACATTTTACTCTCCTATTTCATAAGCTGTCTGCTCCATTCAGTGTCCTTCAAATGAGGGCACAAATGGAAGTCACTCACATGGAAGTCACCCAAAACCTTCCCACTGAAAAATTTGTGTTTGCCACTTGTATGTTTGTTACACTAACAGTGATCTGTATGTTCTGGATAGTGATAAATGCACCCAAAATTGCAGAATCTTAAGAATGGTTGAATTTCAGAACACAGGTTTTCATGCAACTGTGATAAGAC